GCATCAGATGATTTTACGTTATTGATGACTAACTTTGACCTTATTAATATTCACTACTATTTTTAGTATTAATTAGTAGTATTAATAGTGTTTCATGCCCAGTGACCTCAGATGAGTAATTTAACTGTGGATAATTCAGGACTGAGTCAGCATGTTTGAATATTCGATTGGTTATAAAAGTAAAAAATAAATAAATAAATAAATTGCAAATTAGGATTTTCCAAATGCACGTAAGCTTATAACGTTATACTCTTACACTATTCTCATCAGAACAATGAGAGATCTAGTCTGTACTCACCAGAGAGGAGCATCTTATGATTTAGACAGTTTCTTATCTGTTTGTTCCAAAGAAGGATGCACACTTCAGCCGACTAAAGCCAACTTCTATTTGAGTATTTTAAAAATAATGCATTAAAAATTCGAATATCAAATTTGACTGAAATACCCATCCCTTGATAGATATAGTGAAATATCCTATTGAGTACACCCCTTGACAGATATAAAACGAGCAAATGAATTAAGATTTAAAAAGCCATTTAAATCCCAGTGAGATACAATCTTCAAAGTTCTTGTTACAGAGCCGTTGTGCTAGTTTTGGAAAATTCCACCTTCTTGGTGCGCAGTGGCTAATTGGCAAGCAGCAGGCGTGACGATGGAATGTAAATGAAGCAGGGACTGATAGCGGGGGGCGGTGGGGGGGGGATTCTTTTATGGCCCTTGTCAGTGTCCAGCTGTGACACATTGCTTCGCATTATCGGGGGATCCATTATAGGAAATGAATAGAGCACTTTTTATTGGGGGCTTCATTAGCAAAGCAAGAAGATACAATCTGCAACTCCACTGTGCAGCCTATCGGCGGTGGCTCGCAAATAAAGCCTGTGTGTTAAACACCAGCTGAGAGCGCGTAAGGTACCAACAGGTCCTCCGCTGTGTTAAGAGCGTGCAGCCCGTGTCGTTACTATTGTATTGATTTCAAAGAAAGGAGTTACGTGCATTTTAATGGTCATTATGGGCAGCAGTCATTTTAAATCTTTTAAAAGGAACATCAGTGTTGCATTACGTCAGGACTGCTGACTTATTTTTGACTCCTGCTGTAGGAAGGAGTCAGATGAGTTTAGTGAAGACGCTGTTATGTGTACGCAGAGTGTGCTGGGTTCACTAAAACCCCAATTCCAGCAAAAGTACATAAATGTTAATAAAAACAATGCAGTGATTTGCAAATCCCATAGACCCATATTTTATTCACCATAGAACATAGAGCACATATCAGATATTGAAAGTGAGACATTTTACCATTTCATGAGAAATATTAACTCATTTAGAATATGATGGCAGCAACACATCTCAAAAAAGTTGGGACAGGGCCGTGTCTACCATTGTGTAGCATCCCCTCTTCTTTTAACAACAGTCTGTAAACGTCTGGGAAGTGAGGAGATCAACTGCTGGAGTTTTTGGAGAGCAATGTTGTCCCATTCTTGTCTGATGTAGGATTCTAGCGGATCATCAGTCCTGGGTCTTCTTTCATGGATTTTTCATTTCATTATGTGCCAAATTTCTTCTATTGGTGAAAGGTCTGGACTGCAGGCAGCCAGTTCAGCACCCAGACTCGTCTTCTGCGAAGCCATACTGTTGTGATGGATGCCGTATGTGGTTTAGCATTGTCTTGCTGAAATATGCAAGGCCTTCCATGAAAGAGACGCTGTCTGGATGGGAGCATATGTTGTCCTAAAACCTCTATATACTGTCCAGCATTGATGGTTCCCTTCCAGATGTGTCCGCTGCCCACGCTATAGGCACTAATGCAACCCCATACTGGATGGTCCCTCTTCTCTTGAGCTGCAGGACAGGGTGTCCATGGTTTCCAAAAAGAATTTCAAATTTTGATTCATCTGACCACAGAACAGTTTTCCTTTTTGCCTCAGTCCATTTTGAAAGAGCTTTGGCCCAGAGAAGACGGCGGCGTTTCTGGATCATGTTGACATATGGCTTCTTCTTTGCGTGATACAGCTGTAACTTGCATTTGTGGATTGCACGACAAACTGTGTTTACAGACAGTGATTCCTGGAAGTGTTCCTGAGCCCATGCAGTGATTTCCAGTACAGAATCATGCCTGTTTTTAATGCAGTGCCACCTGAGGGCCCGAAGATCACGAGCATCCAAAATCGGCCTTGTCCCTTAGATACAGGGATTTCTCCAGATTCTCCAAATCTTTTGATGATATTATGTACTGTAGATGGTGGGATATTCAAAGTCTTCGCAGTGTTACGTTGAGGATCATTTTTCTGAAATTGTTCCACAATTTTTAGACACAGGTTTTGGCAGATTGGTGAACCTCTGCCCATCTTTGCTTTTAATAGACTCTATCTGTCCAAAATGCTCTTTTTATACTCAGTCATGAGAGTCAAATGCAAATTGCTCCTCCCAACTTTTTTGAGATGCGTTGCTGCCGTCAAGTTCTAAATGAGTTAATATTTTCCCTGAAATGGTAAAATGTCTCACTTTCAACATATGATGTGTTCTGTGTTCTATTGTAAATATAATATAAGTCTATGAGATTTGCAAATCATTGCATTCTGTTTTTATTTACATTTTACACAGCATCCCAACTTTTTTGGAATTGGGGTTGTACTTTAGTAAGCAAAATTTGAGACGATTGAATATTTAAAATTCAAAAAACATTTCACATACTACACTGAATTGAATGGACTAATATGCTGTCTTCATAATAAAACAGTATAATTAAGCATTTGGTCAGTGTTCTTACTGCCAGTATTCACAAAGTGCTCCAAAAAGTGTATTGTTTATTGTTAATTGGACACACCGGAACATTCATCACGAAAACAATAAAATATCATCATATTGCCCATCTTTAAGCAGCAGCATTCAAAAACGATGTGAATGCACTTACCTGGCTCACGTAGTTTCACAGTAAAATCGCACCACAGATGGACCAAAACCAAAATAATGAATTGCCTGTTTGCCGATTGTTTGCTTGGCTTCTGATCGTGCACCCCTAACTCTTACCTAAGTGATTGGCTAAAATGTGAATGGGGTGAAGGGCATTGCAGTTATGATATAGATTTGCTTACTGGGGACAGATAAAGTATACTTCAACATTGTTTGCACTGAAGGCAGCATATGATAAATGCGTAAGGTATTCAAGATGAGACCTTTGTGCTGCTTGTGTCTGCTAAAGGTATCAGATTTTAGGTGTGACCGAATTGGTCTGACAGGCCCCATCGCACAATTCCAAAGTGTTACTTAAGGCGCTGTATCGCACCGTCACTTGCCAGCGCTAGACCCAAGCCGGCCTCACACCTGCCATCTGACGGCCTTTTATATTCTCGTCGGTGCTCTGATTTCACACTACCCGCAGTGGCGCTCTTATCTGCAGCCGAAGTTTAGAGTCTTGTTTGTGCTCCAGCCAGTTCCCATCCTCAAGATAGCGCAGGAGTTCTCTCAGATCAGACAATCCCGAGTTTGTTTTTGGCATCTGTTTCGCAGCAATTCTACATTTATCATCTCATTTGTGAAAGTGGGTCTTGCGTAAGCGTTGTGCGCTACGCACTAACCCCTCCCTCGAGGCGGACCTGTTTAGTGTTGACTTAACCGTAATCGTTTTTCGAGCAGATATACCGATATGCTGGCTTATTTGTCTGCCATCTTTACGGCAGTCTGTTTTGTTAGTACGGTAGGGAGCCAGGCCCGGCGCTAGCTCCTCCGCATTGAGTATCTGGGTATATCTGAGCGATATTGGCCCATTAGGAGGCGGTGTGTCAGAAGGGAGAGGAAGAGAGATTAATGGCTGCATGCGTTGGTCTCTAACCCTGCTGCTTACGCCCGCTACTATCAGCCTGGTGACCGCCCGCACAGCCTCGCCCGCGTCACCCACCGCTGCTTCCCCGTCTGTTTATCTCTCTCCTTTCACCTTCCCTCTCTCTGTCGCTCGCTCTCTCTCACCTGAGGAGAGGGGAACCTGTCGGTGCTATCTCCAGGATGAGTGCGGTGGCGAAGGAAGCAGCGTAGCTGAGTGATAATGGAATCCCATTAGACTCATGCAGCACTCGCTTCACACTTATCTGACTCGGTGCAGGCTCCCCCACCCATTCCAAAAAAAAACACACACTCGCCCAAGAATGAACACACACTAATACAAAGCCTCGTTTAATTTGGTTCTGAAAGAGAGCGTTATATTTGTACACGCACCAGAGCTTGGAGTGACTGAAGTAACCCTCTGTTCTACTTTCTTTGAAAGTTGGGAAACGTAGAGGGGGAAAAACTACACAAGCTTTATTTAAGTGTACTGGTGTCTCATCAAATGGTCTCTGTAACGATTGTCTTTCCTTCGGACAATGTGGACAAAACTAGGTAAATGCAAGCTGACGTTGTCTTCTTGATTGCCATGGTTCAGTCATCACCACCATGGTATGACTTCTGAATCTGCTTAATTGACAAGAGGATAACGAATCCCTACAGTGACGGGCAGGCTTCTGTCATAACGACACGCGTGCAGCGTCACCCGCAGTGCCTCTTAAAGGAGTCGTGATCTAGACATCCAAATGTTCTCTCCAGATTCTCCACTCAGTTGCTAAATGAAAGTGCTATTAGTCTGTGCATAAGCAGGATCTGGACCTTTCCCAGTAACCAAGAAATGGGCCGCATTAAAATCACCATAAAGAACTCCAGACTGAGGCACTCAAATTAATGGTCAGTAGGATTATGCTGAATGAAGCTCATTGACTGCTTGAGCGTTCACTCGAATAAGAATGACCATCAATAGTTCAACCGCGAAAGCAGTGCAGCTTTGTTTTATGCCCAGCCATTCTTTAAGATATGGATTCAGAGCAATTTCCAGATTGAACGCTTCAGAGCTTCTTGCCAGTGACTCGTTTTAGATTGAAGTACCAGTGTCAGAAAGTATCCGAAGTGTCTGAATAGTTCTCCATGACACCAGCTGGGTTCAGGCTGTCTGATGAGTTTGTGCTCTTCTTTCTGCTCAGGAGTTTTTTGAGAACCCAGCGTTTCGGCCGGACGGGCTGAAGCTGTACCCTACGCTTGTGATCCGGGGAACAGGCCTGTATGAGCTGTGGAAGACGGGTCGATACAAGAGCTACTCGCCCAGCACCCTGGTTGACTTGGTGGCTCGTATACTGGCTTTGGTGCCGCCCTGGACCCGAGTGTACCGCGTACAGAGGTAGGAGAAATACCTGCACTACACTGTGTTCTGTACATCGGAAAATGTTTTATTTATGAAATTGTATTGTCACTCTTAGAGTAACTCCACCCTGAGACCTTTTCTTTTTCCATTGACCGCTGAAATGCACTGCTCTGTAATAATAAAATATACCAGCCTTGCTTAAAATGTGAAAACATCTTTCCAAACGTAATAAATATAAATAGATCATTTTTATCATGGTCAGTTCCGCCTCTGCAGCGCCACTCTGGTTCAACTCTGCTATAGGCGCGGATGACTTGTCTTCCTATCAAAGTACGCTGACACGTCACAGTATGCAAATCAGTCAAACAACGTTACCACCCCCAATGACGCCCTACTCGTGCTGCGCTTATAAATATGAAAGCATAGGAGCCCAGAGTGAGGGGATAACCACACTCACACGCTGAGCTGAACACCCCAAGCACCACCTCACAAGGCCAGCTGTCTGTACCAACTGTAAATAACCCAGTTAATCTAAGCTTAGTTTGTAATAAAGATGTTGGACCGATTAAGTGAGGATTCTTGCGAGTCTCCATAAAGCTGCCGGTGATGCATCCGATTCACGTTTCCCTTCACAACTCAAATCCTCGGGCGCTGAACTCACTGAACAGACATTAACGGCAACACTGGAACTACGGAAAGTGAAACAGTTCAGGAAAGGTTAACGTTAAGTGGCCATTGTTACTGACCGTGTCAACCTTTCGTCCTTACAGCCTTTCTTGGACTTTGTTTTCCTGCTTTCCGTAGTTCCAGTGTTGCTTGCTGTTGATTTCTGTTCAGTGAGTGCGGCACCGAGGGTTCGGTTTATACAGGAGAACATGAATTTGAGTGGGAACTGAATCAGATGTAGCACCGTTAAGTGCCATGAACAGCTTGCAGAACGTAAGGATTTAGGGCCACTGCAGCAAACCCTGGCTGACCGGTGATGCAGTCTGCGACTTGGATGTCTGAATGAAACTTAGACAGAGTTAAAAAAAAAAATCCACTTTATTCATTCAGAATTCAGTGCATCTAAGAAATCAGGACTTGGGTTTTATCGAATATGGACCTGTTGACCAGATGATTAGCAGCTATCTGTCATGGTTTTAGGGAATGTTCTACCGTTCTGACACTCTGTCGCTCTCTACCAATCAGTTTCTGGTGCTACGTTAACTCTTTGGCGGCTTGAGTCAGTGTTTCATACTGTTAAGGCTCAAGACTCACTGCCTGATCAGAAACACCTTCCCTCGTCGAAGAAGGGGATGGAAGCAGAATCTTCAACTTTATAAGACTCTCAGTTGCGAAAGTGCCGTTTGATGCTGTCACTCTCCGTATTTTCTGATAGCTAACGTACGCTAGCTCTAAAAACACAGCAGCCCAACCTACCCGGTTTCCCTTGCAGCCCCACCTCCAAACCGGCACATCACTGCAGAGCCCCTCCCAGCGTGCCCCTCCCATTTTTGAACATTTTTCAGACTTGAGCCAGGGGTGGAGCTGAAAATCGTGGGGTGTAGTTACTCTTTAAGGAGGACTGTCAGCTATGCCAATTACTTTTCTTCATGTAACTGCAGGTAATAATAAGTGGTTGTAGCTTCAAACTCTTTCTGATGGTGACCCAATTTCGGACAGTAATGTTACAAAATACAGAAATAAAAGAACCGGCGCATCAGTTCAAAGGTACGAACATGAACTAGTTTCATAAGTGTGAGAAACTTGAAGAGGAATGCCACCAGAAAGCAAGTGTAGATGGTCATTGTCTAAGGAAAAAGAATAGAGGATTGATGTTATACCTTTCCTGAAGCCAGTAACTCCCCTGTTCCCCGATATGTGGGTCGATGTGATTGTCCACCAAGGATATACTTTCCATCTCTGAGGTTCCCGCAACTGTAATATCATTGTAATTGTAACTGTAATATTGTTGTAAATGTTTTCTAGCTCAGAAAAGACTATAACCATGCTTCAGTGCTTCCAACCGTAAAATGTCCCGTGTGGGGCTTTTTGAAACGGGCATGGCTAGAATTCAAAAGTTCATTCAAACTCCAGTTTAACTCCAATCTGGTTCAAGAGATTTATCAACTAGTACTATATTTGCATTGTAGTTATCATTCCTTATATTCCTTACATCATGTTCATGTGTGTCTGATAGGTAAGTAATGGATTATCACTAAGGAACAGAGCACCCCACCATATCAGCACAGGCTGGTGTTCTGCTTAACATTGTTTGTGTCCATTAGCGGTGCCAGAATTGCCATTTTGCATGGCCATTTTTTATTATTATTATTTTTTTAATATAAAGTTAACTACCTTAACTTCTTGGGTATAAGCAAGTCATACTCTGTATAAGCCAGACTAGCAAAGATGCCTTGCTTTACCTCTTTTAAACAAACCAGAAAGCAAAAATTACAAACCAGAAATTGGAAATGCAGCTGTATATCATACTACATGCTACATAGCCTGGTTTGCATGCAGCTCCACCATCCGCATGGGTTTTTGCCTTGCGTAAGTTTTCAGGTAATTACCTGGATAGTTTCGAGTTTCAGTTAGTAAATGTGTTTATTGCTGGTTGTTCTACCTTTTTTTGATGGATAACAATGATTAAATCATACATTTATAGTGGAAAGTAATTAATAAACAAGATATTAATTGCATTCAGAGAGAGTCTGCTTTTGAGTACTGTGTTTATAGAACACATTTATTTGTTTCACATAAGAGAAAAATTGTAGAATTTGGGTGAAATTCACCTCGATCTAGTACAGCATATTATTCAATAGAACGGTTTGGGGAAAACGTCTAATTGCTATTTGTCTGACCAATGTTGAGATGTGTATTATGCCAGCATTAATAATTATAGAGATGTGAATGATGGTAATTGGTCTACCTTGTCTGTCTCAGCACTGGTCTACATTTCTCATGATTATCAAATGATTAGCAAAGCATCTGTAGTGAGTAATTATAAGTTAGAACCTATTCAGAGCAGTAATATTTGGCTTTGATATTAGGGACATCCCCATGCCACTGGTGAGCTCTGGTGTGGAACATGGTAACCTGCGAGAGCTGGCATTGGCCCGAATGAAGGACATGGGAACTGAGGTAACCCTTTCCGCTTCGCTGGGTTATTAATTAAATGCTAGAGAATAAGTCATACGTTGAGGTCTGATCAGTGAAATCTGTTCCAGTAAAGTGTTTTTGGTTCATTGATTTCTGCAGTGTAGAGACGTAAGAACCCGAGAGGTGGGCATCCAGGAGATCCATCATAAAGTGCGGCCGTACCAGGTAATGGTACTTTGCAATCAAGGGCATTGCTGAAGGGGACGATGTCAGCAGCTTTTGAGTCCATTCACCTTTGTACAATGTGCCCACGCTGCGTGTAGGTGGAGCTGATCCGGAGGGACTATGTGGCTAACGGCAGCTGGGAGACCTTCCTGTCGTACGAGGACCCCGAGCAGGACATCTTGATCGGCCTACTGAGGCTCCGTCGCTGCTCTCCGCAGTCCTTCCGGCCCGAGCTGAAGGGCGGGGTGTCCATCGTGCGTGAGCTGCACGTCTACGGCAGCGTAGTGCCTGTCAGCAGTCGAGACCCCAGCAAGTTCCAGCACCAGGTAGAAACAGAGTAGCACTGAAGGTCACACCAAAATTTATTCACGCGATTTATTCTGACGTCAGTGGAGTTACTCTGATATACACCGATCAGCCATAACTTTATGACCACTTCCTTGTTTCTACGCTCATTGTCCATTTTATCAGCTCCACTTACTATATAGGTGCACTTTGTAGTTCTACAGTTACAGACTGTAGTCCATCTGTTTCTCTGCATACTTTGTTAGCCCTCTTTTACACTGTTCTTCAGTGGTCAGGACCCCCATGGACCCTCACAGAGCAGGTACTGTTTGGGTGGTGGGTCATTCTTAGCACTGCAGTAACACTGACATGGTGGTGGTGTGTTAGTGTGTGTTGCGCTGGTCTGAGTGGATCAGACACAGCAGTGCTGCTGGAGTTTTTAAACACCTCAGTGTCACTGCTGTACTGAGAATAGTCCACCAACCAAAAATATCCAGCCAACAGCGTCCTGTGGGCAGCGTCCTGTGACCACTGATGAAGGACTAGAGAATGACCAACACAAACTGTGCAGCAGCAGATGAGCTATCGTCTCTGACTTTACATCTACAAGGTGGACTGACAAGGTAGGAGTGTCTAATAGAGTGGACAGTGAGTGGACACTGTGTTTAAAAACTCCAGCAGCACTGCTGTGTCTGATCCACTCAGACCAGCGCAACACAGCACCACCACATCAGTGTTACTGCAGTGCTCTGTGAGGGTCCATGGGGGGTCCTGACCACTGAAGAACAGGGTAAAAGGGGGCTAACGAAGTATGCAGAGAAACAGATGGACTACAGTCTGTAACTGTAGAACTACAAAGTGCACCTATATAGTAAGTGGAGCTGATAAAATGGACAATGAGCGTAGAAACAAGGTCATAATGTTATGCCTGACCGGTGTATGTATAAAATATGTCTTGTACAACAAAAAATTTTCAGAGGGGCTAGTTTCTCTAAAAGCAATAAAATTGGGTTATAGTCATCTGAAGATTGGTTCATTATAATATCTTGGCTCCTGAAAAAGGCTGTTACTTATTTTGAATTTTTTACATTTTCTGTACCAAGACTTTGCACACGGTATTATATTTCACATTTTCTGACATTTATTTTCCTCATATTTCTCTGTAAAGATCTTTAGACTCTGAGAGCCTCAGCCCAATTCTTTCCATCTGGCTAATTGAGCTTGACGAAGCTCACCCATGTTCATAGGTCAATGTATAGTGAAGCTAATTGGTCAACTAGGTAAGCCAGCGTTAGTGAATAGGGCCGCAGCTGCCTCATTCATTGTTTAGGTAAGACGTTTAATGGTCGTCAGTTGAATACAATAGAAGTTTTTCATTGTGGAGGCTTCATAATTTTTCTGAAAAAAAAAATGCCTCAACGTTCCATATTTCAGTGTGTGGTGGTGTCTTTATTATTCAGTCCTGCCTCTTTTGTTCCTCTGTGTTTGCAGGGATTTGGGATGATGCTGATGGAGGAGGCAGAGAGAATAGCCAGAGACGAACACGGCTCAAGCAAACTGGCTGTTATCTCAGGTATCGAGAGCGTATTCTCAGCTTTTCTTTCAGAACTCCCACTGTGTCATCCTCTTGAATCACCCTGTTTATTCAATGAATAAAACCCTGTGCACTCATCCCACCAAATCAGCTGCAGGGCCAAGATAACGGAGCAGGGAAAAGAAATAAAATATCTCTGTTAATGTTCTGCAGGTCTATGACACACACTAAAGCCAGCTTTTGTCCCTCTTCTTTTGAAATGACTTCTGTTGCAAGCATAAGTCTGAATTAAACAAGGCTCTGATAAGTCTGTTAGCACAGACACGCCTGTTTACTGGCTGTGATCCGTCTCTCGTTTCAGGTGTAGGAACTAGGAATTACTACAGGAAGATGGGTTACGAGCTGGAGGGGCCGTACATGGTGAAGCGCTTGGACTGAGAGCTTCACACAGCAGGACAAACAAGGAGATGAAGAAGATGCCCCAGAGAGTTTTTAGCGTCTTCTCGGGGAGACTGCAGTTTTTTTGATATTTACAGATTTTGTTAGTCCACTTTTTGCAAGTGAGGTGAGAGACTGGCTGTTTTACAGCCCACAGACAGCAGATTAAGGTCAACACAGAGAGCTGTTGGAGGCGTCTCTAATGAATGTTGCTTAACACCAAGACTGAAGTACTCCACTGTACTCCATGTGTACTTCTGAAATATTTTTGCAGATGCAGTTTGATCGAGTGTGCAGATGAATTTATGTACATTTTCAACCACGCAGACAACAAAGACATAAACAGGAGGCAGGGCAGAGAGTCTAGAATGTCCCCAGTTATATTTATAGTGTTGATTTAAGGTAGAGAAACATCGTTTTACATAATATCTGTTCAAATCCTTGTTAATCCACCATGTTTTTCTGCAATTAATTGCTATTTCATGTTCTGAGAGTAGCAGACTCATCTGAACATTCTTTCTCTTTAAGAAATAAAGAGTATTTATCTGCTATTTTAGCCCCTGTGGTAATTACACGTTGGTATAAATGGCACATTGACACAATTAATTGAAATTCGATCCAGTGCAATAGTAGACATGACTTCACTTGAATGGACAATAATGTATCCATCACTGAACCTTAAGCGGAACTGAAAGAGCCAAAAAAGCATTAGCCATCAGCAGGGCCTTCTGTCTGGACCAGAAAAGCTTTTAAAACCTGACACTGAAATGATCTGAAATCGAATTGCCTTCATTCTTGTCAGCAGTGAAAGTTACAGGCTGCTTTTATTTTTCACTAAAACTCCGCTCTCTCTCACATTTTAGTCCGTCACCACGCTGCCGATTTCCATCCCCCGTCTCCTGGGGTGGTGAAGGCTCTCTTCTTGGCGGGAGACCTCATGATATCTCTGCTGATGGGTTTTTGCTGCTTCATTTAACACCGCAATACCCAATTATGTCTCTGTCTCAGGCGCCGTGAGTCAAGGTGTCACTCGAATGATGACTGACCAGCCTTTAAAGCCGAGCTTCCATGAGCTCAGTCACGCCGCTCCTGTAAGAGGTTTGGCATGTGAAAAATGGTTTCCAATAAACTGGAAAATGTTATCCCGCATCAGGCAGATGTTTTTCTTTTTTTCCTGTTCAGTGACCCTCCTCTTACACCGTGTGATTAAACGCGGGCTGGGCTCGTAATTTCCCGGCAGAGGCCTGTTGTCGTGACTTTATTGGGAGCTAACACTGCCACTGGGACAATGAAGAATATGAAGAATGGCCCAATGTCGCATGTGCCATCCGTCCAATTTGGCAGGCTAAATCTCCGCGGGCCTTTCGACCCCCGAGCTCAGGCATGATGGGTTTTGCGCTAACTGCATTTGTATGGTTACTGTTCCAGTTCATCCAATGAAGACGGATGCGCCGGAGAATATGAGCACAGAGCAACGTGTGGCTGATGTGGTGCATCAGTCGAGGAAAACCGACCCAGGGGTTTGATCTGCGAGTGTCAGGGAGCACGAGGGAGAGGGCGGAGTGTCTGGAGCGGGAAATCTCAAGGATTGAGATCCGTTTAAGAGACGCAGAGATGCATCACATCACTCCTAGGTGGAGGGCGTGAGGTTAAACCTCAGCAGCGCATTTATCTGTTTTAGAAGTCAGTGGGAATTAGCTTTTACTCATGGTTCCTGTGTACTGTGGGCGGCTCAAGCTGTTTCAGGGTTCTTGGCCTTTCCTCATGAAGAAGTTGTCAGAAATAGAAGATATATATATTCTTCACGTGAATATCTGCAGATGCTGATGCACTTATAAAATGTAAAAAATGTGACTGTATTCACCTGGATTAGCATTATAAAGAAATATAATATTTATTCCTGTAGAGCTACAAATTCAGTAAAATGAATAAAATGCAAACATTTTAGCGAAGTCGTCATCAAATATTCCCATACAGGACCTTTCCAGGCTATAAAATTCATACCTTTTCCAGAATAATTCGATTTGCAATTTTAGGAATAAGGGATTTTAAAATTTCTAACGTCTTACCAATTTTTACCTCTAAAAAGAATCCTGCTGCACTCTCAGGAATAAAGGTGCGAAACTGTCACTGGGGTGGTTCCCTCAAGGGTCCATCTCAGTACCTTTAGTCATGGAACATAACTGTACCATAATCCACTGAAATGATATGTTCTAAGCTGTACTGACTCCACACACCCCGTCTCGTCTCCAGGCTTTTATTTTACTGTTCTGTTTTAAAACATTCGGTTATGAAAAGATACAAAAATGAACTTTTCACCTGGGAAAAACTTATTTATGGTTCACAGTTGGACCTTAAAACCACTGTTGTACCTTTGAGGGAACATTTACATTGTTTGTACCTTGATGAACCAGAAATGTACCTGCACAGAACCTTTATTTCTAACAGTGTACTGCTGACTATAGTTATGGTCAGGATAAGACCTCTTTTGACTGTCCTCTACAGCGTCTTGGAAAGGTACTCAACCCCCTCAAGTCATCAGATTCGTCTGGATTACAGTGACACTTGGTCGGATGACGCTTGTGTCAAAATAGTGCCTCCGATTCGTAATTGGACTGAGATTTGGACTTTGACTTGGCCATTGTACAACATGGACTTTTTTGTTGTTCAACCACTCCTGTGTTGGGTGGTGTTTGTTGAAGAACGGACATTGGGCCTCATTTACCAACCGTTCTTAAGAAGAAATTAATTCTTAAAACCCACTTACCACAGATTTCATGAAGATTCTCACCAGTGTGTTCTTATTTGGGATTTATTCTTAGGTAAGAACAGAATCTACACACACTCGAGCACAAAGGTGCAAACAGTTCTGCAGTTTAAGAACACGTCGTGAATCTGACGTAGACTTTCTTTAACACTGTCAGGTTTGCACCACACAGCACTTTGAATATTAGCCAAAAAGCTCAATCTTTTACTTTTGCTCTCTGGCAAAGTCCAGATGTGCTTTTTCTTCAGTAATGGCTTCTTTCTAGCCTCCCTCCCACAGAGGCCAGTTGCATACAGAGCTCTTGATATTGTTGACTGGTGCACCTTCACTCCAGTCTCAGCCACTGAGCTCTGTAGCTCTTCAAAGTGATCGTAGGCCTCTCTGAGGCTTCCCTCACAAGTCCCCCTTCCTGCTCTGATGCTGAGTTTGAGAGATGGCCTCCTCTACGCAGTGCCTGGGTGGTTTGATGCAGCTTCCATTTCCTCACAGTTGATCCAGCAGTGCTCACTGGGATATTCGACCACTTGGATATTGTTCTGCAGCGTTTTCCTGTCTTGTGCACGTCTGTAACTTAATCTCAAATTTCCTTAATTATTCTCCAGGGTATATTTTGGTTTGTCCATCTGAATTTACATGACCAAATCGTAAGGCAAATTATTCAGTGACTGCATGAAATAAATGTAAATTATTTTATTTATTGTAAAGTTCCCCTCAGATTAACAGAAAATGTTTTATGATCACACATATTGCTATATGCTTACAATTTACTGCTGAAAGCCAAAAATCTCTCTATTATTTTATAAAAATAGTTTTTACAGAGCAGATCACTGAAGAGACGCCATCTGTTTATAGTTTATAGCGCAGATTTGTGTAAAAATGGGTCGACTTTCAGTAGACAAAAAAAAATGTGAGTTCAGCTTCTTTTATTATAAGGGTTTAAAATTTCATCACCCATCTATGTGACTGGAAAGAAAACAGTTACAGCTCTCATACGACCCCCACCTTCTGAATGTAGCTTATGAAATATGAAAGTTATGAAGAATATGACGAAGTGTGTTTTGGAACCACCGGTGGTCTCAAGGAGTTAAAAAGGTTAAAATGTTCTTTGGTCTTCATTTTCATTTACACTTCCCTTCAGATTTACAGTCTGACCAATGATACTTGAATCAAGTCCAGAAAATGTGAACATTTTTAATGATTCACAGCTTGAGACATACCTGCCTTATTAGGCCAATATCTTTTATCTGTGTAAATTTGAACTTCAACATTCATACAAACAGCAATTAGTTACTAAATTTTGTCACAGAATATTTTCTTACATAAAACTAAGCACTTCAAGTGTATTGTGTCATGCAATCCTGACAAATCTGGGTTTTAAGAGAGTTGAGTGCTTTTGCAAGGCACTGTACATCAATTAAAAGCTGAATTCTGATATCTATTGATCATTCTTATTCATTTTAATTCCATTATTACTTGTGTCACAGGAACTCTTATTTACTGTGTTAGTGTTGGAATATATTAACCCAAGCAATACACAATATGAAAGACCCTCCATGACCCAAACACTGGATTTCTCTCTCTTGCCTGTGCTGATAAATGACAGTTCAACAAAAAAGAAATATTGTTTTGGACCCAGGCAGGTATAATCAAGAGCAATCAAACTGGAAGTTTAATTTCCTGTGGAAGACTGAGTGCAGTCTCCAAACAGAAAAGCCATTTGACGGTCCAGCCTGTGCAAGCAGACCATCAGGAAAGAAAGTGGCCAATAACTTCAGGGGAACGGCTCCCTTCACTTCAATCTGCAGAAAGGACACAGGCGATCGCAACGAGCGATACATAGGCAGCTGCGTTTACGCAGCCTTTAGGAGAAACCCCCCCCCCAACTCCCCTCAACTCCCCTCAACTCCCCTGAACTCCCCTCCTCGGTCTTGATGTTGGACATGCTCCATCAGCCGAGCGACTTCAAAGCCTGCAGCTACTTTGATTGGCTAAAATTAAACCACTGCCTCTATGGTGCAGATTTGTGGTGTGACCATGCTCAATTCCCAATTCTCCACATCACGATCTCTGACTAGACACCTCCAGACCTGATTAGAACATCTGAAACCATGGCAATACAAAACACATTCCTGCGGTGTGCCCATCAACAGAATGAGAAGAACAATATTATAGTCTGGAATTTACAGAACTTAAGCCACAAGTGCTGTAAGTTCATAATTCATGGTTATTAATTACATTTACGCTGTGCAAAATGTAAATAAAACCAAAATATTTCATTGAAAATAGTACAAAGACAACATATCAAATGTTGAAACAGAAATTTTATTGTTTATTGAAAAATATTTGTCCATTTTGATGTTGATGCCAACAACACATTCCAAAAAAGTTGGGACAGGGCAACAAAAGACTGGTAAAATTGTGTAATGCTATAAAAAACACCTGGTGGTTAATTGGCAACAGGTCAGTAACATGACTGGGTATAAAAAGAGCATCTCAGAGAGGCTGAGTTTTTCAGAAGTAAAGATTTCACTTTGTGAAAGACTGCATGATCAAATAGTGCATCAATTCAAGAATAACGTTTCTCAACATAAAATAGCAAAGAACTTTTGCTTTAACATTAAAAGATTCAGAGAATCTGGAGAAATATCTGTAGTGGAAATCACTGCATGGGCTCAGGAACACTTCCGAAAACCACTGTCTGTGAAAACAGTTCGGCGATGATGAAACACAGTGGTAAACAGGCCTCCGTCCCAACTTTTTTGGAACATGTTGTTGGCATCAAATTCAAAATGGGCACATATTTTTCAAAAAACTATAAAATTTCTAAGTTTCAACATTTGCTTTGTTGTCTTTGTACTACTTGTACCATATAAATATGGTTTACATGATTTGCACATCTTTGTATTCTATTTTTATTTACATTCTGAAATATCTGGAAACTAAGCTAGAAAACGGTCTTTTGAATTCACCGTTTCTGTGATATTACAGAAACCAACACATTTACATATATTTATTACAAGAAAGTTTAACCCACCCATTCATGCTGATGTTATATATGTTTCTGCCTGGACTGCTTCTTGAACAAGGCACACTACAGGACAGCCAATCAGAACAGAGGCAAATCAGCCTTAAAGGCATAGTACCACAGTACAAGGCATAGGGAGAGGCTGGCAAACGGTCATGCAAAAATGGTTTTGATACGTAAAACCACAACTTGGAAAAAAAAAATACAAGTCAAATTTGTTGAATTTGGTCCCTTTAATCCAACTGTATGTCTAGACCTTGACAGATAAAGGAAAAATACTGACAGCATCACATTTTGTTTTAATTATTTCAATAAATATATCTAAAGTTGACATACAATTTCAGTGTAACGACATACAAAATACAAGTCAACTGGTCATACTTGTGTTAGATATTTGTGATGTCATGATTGTAGGACAGGCAATAATTAAAGCATTTCATTTTAATTGGCCATTGACATACAGACTGCATACAGCGTTCAGACAAACACCAATGTACTTACATAAAGACGAAGCAAAAACAAACAAAAAATTAATCCTGAGCTTAGAGTCCTGAAAAATCCTTAAAATACATACTGTCCTAAAGCAGGCGGTAGGATGTCCACAGTGAGGCTGTAACATTGTGTCTCTTCCTAAGTTGTGCTTGAAGATCAGTGGGGATCTATAGCCTGGCAAACCCTTTCCTCCAGCTGTTGTGCAGTTGGCCGGGCGTCAGGGTCCGAGGCCAGCATGTCCAGCAGCAGCGAACAGAGGGCCGGGCTGGGAGGGGGTGGCAGCGGCGGAGCACGGCGGGCCCTCATAGGGATGACCAACTGCAGGGCTGGGTTTTGACACAGAGCCTCTCCCAGTGGAGTGATCCATCGGCCTCTCTCCACATACGCTCCTACAGGACAAACCAGAAAGGTGTTCAGATCATGGATGCACTGTGTTACCCTTCGTTTTATTTTTCCTTTGGACTGTTTTCAGTTCGTTATTTCAAAAGTATTTCCTGAAATCCTCATTCATCAATAACAATTAGCACAGAGAAGGAGCAACCTGAGCCACAACCACAATCTGTTTTAATAAAAAGCCAATTAAAGTGTTTAGGGCCTGCACTTCAGTTCCTGACCTTCATAACTACATAGCTTACATATTAGTTTTAAAAATAAGTACTTATCAATAACTGGATAATAAAACCCAGGGTTAAAAGAGGGGTGCTTCAGAGCTACCGTTGACGCACGAGACACCGTTCATTGGTATTCACTACAGCACAAGGAAAACAAATACACCCAGTAAGGTTGATGGACGGAAGATGATAAAACAACAAAGAAAGCTCTAATTGCTTCTAATAAATAGGCTGAGACATCTGACCTTTGTGGTCGCTAGCTTTGGGCAGACGGGAGGAGAAGCAGAGTAATTACTTTGTTGTCTGAATTGCCTGGGCACTTTATCCAAAGCCTCTCTGCTCAGACCACTTCAGTCCATCGCCGATAATACACCGTGTCATTGGGCCCTCGATGCCACAATATCTACAACGAACCGTAGCCTTCATTCTGATGTGGTTCAAATGCAGTGACCAACATTAAAAAGGGTCACTTTGGGGTCATCACAACCAAAATGGGCTACAAAGAGCATTAGTATAAGCAAACTGAGTCTCCATTAGCTGCAAGAAGCAGACTGCTTTAGTCATGGGGTAGTCAGGCTGAAGGAAATGCAAACCTGAAAATGATCACATTCTGAAATTGACCCTCTTAATTTCAAAACTGGTAGTTTTTTATGGGA